ATATTAATCCATCGCCCAATAACTCGGTGTAGAGGTTTTTCAGACCATGCTTAGTTTCCAAAGGGAAGTGTCCGGGATCGACCACGTCATCGATACCGATGCCTTATTTGCATTAGGAACAGGCAGCAAAACAATGACATAATTTCGACGCAGCATTGAATGCATCGTTCCTTACGGAGATAAAGCAGCAGGTAATTCAAATTGAATGTGACTTGCCACTTAGAGAAATACACATCCAGGAGCCAGGCAGGAAAATGCATAAACATAAATTATTAGTTTCAATGTCTCTAATGCATAACAATGGAAAGGTAATCAGCTGGTAAGGACGAATATAAGAAGTGAGGCAGCCCAGTTAAGAAGTCGAAAGAGATCATCAAAAATAAAAAACCTGGGAGTACTGAACCCAACTAGACTATTAATGTTCCTTTGAAAGAGAACCATGCGGCCTGATTGACGCCACCGACTGGCACCGTTACCACCAATAACAACAACACGAAAAACAAAGCTGTCGCCAGTTGTTCAAACTTGTCGCTTGCAGACACCCTGCTACCACGCAATATATCCAACTAGAGCCAAAAGATACCCAAGTACTCGCCACCACCACCAAATACCGATCACCCCAACATACCAGGTTACCCGCACAGACGGCTCGATATCTTTACCAAGATGGCGTCGACTTTCACGTATTGGCAAACAGCTGTTGTCCTTTGTAGTCCTTGATATCTATGGTGCACACACTGTATGCATTTGGTAAAGACTTTAAGCAATGACCAAGACGGCTAAGGAAAACATGTCCATTGAACAAACTAAAGCACGTAAGCTACAAATCTCTGAAGACAATGCAACAGCAAAATGCCTAACTGACAGGTTTACACCACAAACTGAGGTACGTCGAAGAAAGCATCGTGTCCCTTATCGACTCAGACAGCGTAAACTGCTGTTCCAAGTTTATGCATTGTCTGAAAATATTTGGAGCATTTCGATATTCTACATCCGTGACCATGAGAATAGCTTGCAAAGTCACATGGAGGCCTTTTTGACTTACAGCTCGATACAGGGCGTCTAAAACAAAAATGTTCACATTTCGTCTCTCCCCTAGTCACAATTTGTTCACAGAGTCGAGGGTGTTTTCCGTATCTTCTTTATGTGTATATTTCTATGTAACTTTATTCTCGCTCGCTCACTTTGTACATTTTTGACATAAATACATTTATTGCAACTTGATATCGATGTACATTGAGCGAAATATTCCCGCCAGTTTTGGGTCTGGGCACACGGTACTCACTCGGCGTGCGCCCGATGCTTTAGCAAACATGAAGATGGCAATAAATTAAACCAGACCAAGGCAGATTCGACGTAGACAAAGCTATGTTAGAAGTCTCCTCGTCGAGTAGCGGTTGAAATAAAGATTATTTCCTTTGCTTCCCTGAAACCTTCCGAAAGTTTCTGCATTTCACAGTTGCGTGTAGGACACTAACTTTGCATATTCTGAGCATTGTTTCCGCGATATAGCCCCTACCTTCCCAAGCCGGAAGACCCGAGTCGCGCATAAAAGGAGCTAACCGGGCATCTCCGCGGCGGAGGTGCCCGGCGCGCGTCCGACCGTCTGCACGTGCGCCGGCACATCGGCACAAAGCCGTCAGGGGCGGCCCACTCAGCGCGGCGGCCGCCTGACCCAGCCTAATCAGCCCAGCGCATTGAGCGCGCCACAAAGCGCCGAACAGGGTAATCACATCCCAGGACGGGCCGCCTTTGTGACGCTCGAAAGCTAATTCAGATGCGGCGCTGCCGACGAAAAGTTCCTCTGTCGGCGCCGACAGACGCGGAGCCATCCTTTCTCACAGACTTGGGCGGGGCTCGAAGTCGAAGCGATGCAACGGTCTGCTCTGCAGCGACAGAGAAGCGATCCACATTGACAGCCTGAGTTTGCACACATTGCATGAATATGCTCCAAACCATTGGAGACGAAATGCAAATGAATACTTTGCGAGCGTGGTTGCGCTGAAGGACTGATGTACTGTGGAGGGATGGCCCAAGCATGCGGAAGCAGTATTGGACGCGTTTGCCGGCACGCATTGGCGAATTACCGCTATCTTGTTGGTGCTTTCCTATGTAAAGCAGCTCCTTCGTGATCCATCTTTTCAGAAAGGCTTGTCATATCCTGCAATATGCTGGAAACACTTTAAAAAATCAGTCCATTCCGCAGCGCATATTTCAGGGACCACCACTAACCATTAAGCCACCACAGTCACGATATTCAAATCAGCAGTTTGCTCTCATCATTCAATTTGATGAAATACGCGGACATTTCATTACAGAGCATAAATCCGGGGATTTGCAATAATGCACGAGCTGAGCCGGTATTTCCGACCCCATTGGGCGCTGGCTCCTGAAACAGTCGAGCCCATAAATCGCGCACCATTCCGGAGCTCGCCGCCGGCGCGGCCGGGTGCCCGTGCGTCTCCGGGGGGCCGTGCGCGACTGTCGCCGACATTCAATCACCACAAAGAGTACGGGCGTGCGGCACGCGCCCAAATCCGGGCAGTTAGCGCCTCCCGCCCAGCCAATCAGTCAAATGTGTGCCGACACTAAAGCGGCTGCCGGCAAAATGCCCGCTATGGCTCCCCGGGGCGCCGTAGCGCCGCCGGCTACAGTCCCATTGACCGGACGACGAGCGCGGCGCGCCGGCGCGCATTGTGGCGCGCCACGCCGACACGGCCGCCCAGACGCGCGCCGGATTCGCCCCGGCACTTAGGTTAAGCTTAGGAGATTGTCTGCGAATCGGAACGGCCCCCGTTGGGCGCGTATCGTTTAGCGCATCCACAGAGGGTTATGGCGACGGGAGGAACGGAGCACACAGCTGGTGTGGAGGGCGTTGCGGCATGGACTGTAACCGGTCTGTGCGGTGCAGTATGCACGGTGGTAACGAAACTCAGGTGACTTGAAAGGACTTTGTCGGGCGTCGCTGACTCTGGCCAGCAAATGCGCTATGACGCGTCTCCCCAAAGCATAGAAACAAAGAGGAAAATGTCCGAGTGGATGTTAAACTGGGCGTGAAAAAGGCAACACGAAGTCGCGGCACTCATTGATATAAATGTGAAAAACATGAAAGCAGAAGACGCATGCGTACAGCAAACGCTAGTAATTCTGTCTGATAGTAAACGAGGTCATACCACGACAGAAAACCTCCCCAAACATATAATATTGACTTCTAGTTGGCTATTCGGAGCGCAAAGCATTGTAATTCGCAGTGCCCGCCCTTCCTGTCAGGGTGAGAGGCAGGCGACGCCATACACCCTGAGCAGCTGAGTACGTCATAAAGCTCTACTGACGACGACGACAAACCATGAGCGAGATTCTGTTGCAAGTGGTAAAAATTTGCGCCTCAAAACAGGTCGATTAAAGTACTGCATAGAAAAGACTCCAATGACGTCATTACAATTTGGTGGTGAACTGCACACTTTTTGGCCATGCGTTGCTGTGTTGCTGTCCATCGGTGTAAAATAGCCGGACCCATGTAGAAGCCAAATATTTTTCAAGCAGCAAACAACACGAATTTGTTTGGCATAGACGAATACTTCAATAGCGGCAACGCAATGTCCCCCAAAAGTCAAATCTCTTGTGGTTGAGATTTAGTTCGGATCATGAATGCTGCCTTGGACAGAATAACAGGAGACTGTATTTGATATCAGGTACCGCGTACGAAACCTATGTAAGGCACCGCACACGACACTAAAGCACACAGACACCGCATACGATACTGAACGCCTAGTCCGTAACGTCCCCCAAAGGTCACATTGCTGTGATCGCTTCGCCCATCGCTCGCAGACAGTGGGCGCTCTCCACCCGTGTAAATTTGCCGATATTTCTTCGTCGCAGTCAGACCTCAGTGACATGCTACGAGACCTAGCATTTCCGTACAGTTAAAGCACCAGAATGAACACATCGCTCGCGATAACCCGAATCTGCTGAGACTCTTAGTTACACCTGGCGGGAGGTGTAACGAAGTGAGTAACACTGTAGAGAGTAACACCGAAGGGAGTAACACCGGAGAAAGCAACACAAGCTATCCCGCACTCTCCTTTCAAGGCCGATGAGGCCGCACAGCGCACCCACACCCGCAGCAACTGCACACCACGACCCGACAACGCCGATGATGAACAGATGAAGCGGTCGCCGGCGCCCTGATGCCCCGACAGGTGAGCAGATGAGCAGCAGATGACGGATGACAGATGAGCCCTGTCCTTGTCCAGTGAGGATATAGAGGAGTCCTCCAGCCCCAGTCCGCCGTCACCACCGTGGTACTTCGCGTACCGCCAGAGCTTAAGCGTGGCTCGCGGCATGGCTGTCCAGTGAAGTCAGACCAGACACACGTAGAAAATATGGCGCGACAGGCGCGGCAGCCTGCTCCGGCAGCTCGGCCTCACCAACATTCCTCAGTACTCCCGTGATGCTGGCTGGAGGGGGACGGACCGGCGAGCCCACTCCTGGGCGTGGGACCGCCCTCACCCTGACCTTAGATCGCTACCCCGCGGTCTGCCGAGGGATGGGGGGATGCTCGCCACCGCAGATGAGCTGCCGCCGGCCGGGGGCGGCGGCGGCCGCTGTAACGTCTCTCTCCATTGGTCGGCTGGCCGTCTCCGCACGCCGCCCGACCGCGTCGCTCCGCGCAAAAAGCCGCGTTGCAGACGCGGCATTGCATCGCCTGCGGCGGCCAGTCGCCGCGGGGCGTCGCGGCGGGTGGCACGCGACGAGCACGACGCGTCGCCCGCGCCTGCCCCGAGGCAAAAACGCCGCCAATTGTCCCGACGGCGCGCCGGCGACCGCGCGCGGCGCATGCCAATAGAGGGCGTGCGCCATTGTCCGACAAGTGCAGCCGGGTAAAAAGAGTGACGCTAAAACAACGTGTATCGCGGCAAATCACTTCCGGCGCGGCGGCGGGGCGCGGGAGAGCGTGTCAGTTGGCGGCCGGCGGAGGGGCGGCGCGCGGCCGGCGGTGGCGCTTACCAGGCTCCGCTGGACGGTGGCGCCGGCTGGAAGCGCGCCTGTGGGGAGCTGGAACGCGTAAGTGGAGTTTGGACGCGTCGCCTCAAGTCTGAGCCGTCGTGAGGAGTTTGGGCGCGTCGATGAAAATTAAAGCTCATCGCGAGGAATTTGAGCGCGTGGCGTGGTATTTGAGCTCGTCAGGCTGCATCTGACGGCATTAAATCCGCACCGCGGTTGTTCTCGTGGCCACAGTCCGTAGAAAGGTGAGTTAGATGGTTTGACGCAGGTGTTTCGACCCGCTTCATTCGATATTAGAGACGCTGGCGAATCCTCGCGACTAGCAAATTGATATTTGTAAATGTGAAGTGAACCAAGTGAGCCATACGCGGTTCACTCGGTTTGCTACAGTTTGATGTTTACTTCTAATGTCATCCCTCAACATGCAGCTTGAAGGGCAGTTTTCTCTTCCCTGAGAATACTGAGGATTTATACAAAGTCATTAATAAATGCGTTTTTTGTCCGAATCATTCATTTGTTCTGTTGAGACTCTTACACACATCCAGACTGGAATAAATATTCCGGGGTGGTTTGCGGCACCTGAGTACCGGTAGTCTATGGATAGTTTAGGCCATTTTACGGCACAAGTGCGCTGTTTGTAGTGTTAACCTCACCTGAACATCTTGAGACCAGGTTATTGTCTGTTTTCTGTGGGGGGGGGGGGGGGGGTCCGTCGCGTGAAACCAAATAAAACCAAAGGCGTGCAGCATACTTCCGTCATATTTAAGGAAAAATATAGATTTGACATCGATCTAAACGGTCGTAAATGCACAATGGTCTCTATGCATCATAAACATTGCCTGCGAAATCACCAAGGTTTGCACCTTCTCCATCTTTAATCCCCATCTTTAATGGGATCTCTACGGATGAATCAGTAGTTTTGCTCTGTGCATTACGGTATCATAACTTGAAATTGGCAGGCATCGTTTGAGCAGCATGGTGCACGATTGGTCGTCCTACCTGATGACCTGAGTCCGCTGTTGCTTGGAAAACTTACCCAAGATTAAGCGAGGGGGCGTAGGGTATGCAAAGACCTATGCGATGTTATCAAGGACGGCGGCAACATTCTGCAAAACGAGTTCTAGGTCCGCCAAATGGCGGGTTGCCGAAAACGTTTTACGCTGATAGTGGCTGATAGTGATGGTGGCTGGTAGTCGGCGTTTTAGGCTGATATTGTTCACCTGAATCCGTCCCTGAGGAATATATGAAGCTTCACAAGTTAGCCTACAAAGTATTCATATGGCGCTCATTTCATCCAAAGTACCCAAGGCGGATATTGACATCTTGAGATCTGCGAGCATGGGGCGAGGACGAATCTGCCCTTTCAGGCACGTTAACGTAAACCCCACAGCCTACAGGAAATAAGGTTAATGCGGACCGATCCAAAATGTGGTTGCTCAGATAAATTTGAAACTTCTGACTGCGAGGTAGGCCCAATCTAATCAAGTTGTTCCTGGCTGCCGTGCTAGCACCGGTGTTCGACCCAGTAGATGAACGCCCTTGCCTTCTGGCTGGTGTGATTGGTAGTAATTGCCAGGGTATGGCTATAACTCATGCCATGCGACCCAACCCGGTGCGCTCATTGTACTTCTCTGATGCGGGTGTCGTTCGCGACGTAAATGTCTGCGGGGTGGAGTCGCGATTTTAGTGTCATTTAACAAATTACGCCTCCTTCACCATTGTGCAGAAAACAGGCTCTTAACATAATGGTCTTATTTCGCCGTTTATTGTACTTAATGTGCAGCTTTGTTATTTTATGCGCTGTTCACTTTGTTTTTGACGTTAAATTTATTTAGTTGATTCACTGTGCCTGTTGGACCTACCTTTTATCATCATAAAAACTAAATGCCTCGTAAATGACTCTGCAATATGAAATGGTGCAGCCACACGACCACTGTGAAAGTGAGAGGTGCTGCATGATCCATTTTTCTTGGCGTCCTTTGTGACCACTATGCTCGTATTGCAATCACAACCTACCAATAAAGAGTATGACATTACAAATATACATAGCTCACAAAACCTAACGTCTCCTTTGTCACACAGGGCGCAAAAATCAGCCGGCTCTAGGGGGCTATGGGCGGAATTTGCTTTCTATATTGCTGCTTGCAACCACTGTTTGCCATCGTAATTTGGAGCCGCTTATCCACCAATCAATTCACTAAGACGAGCGTGTTTCTCGACAATCTGCGCAGTTCGCTCACCGATGGAGCTGATTTATGAGGCGCACCCGTCCACGCCCCATCCAGTTCAGACTCAACAAAGCTGTGGCCTTTACGTATGCATGGTCGTGCTTAAGAGAAGAAGAAAAAAAACATCAAAGGAAGCCAGTCTGTTTTCTCTAGATTCGGGAACTGTCTTATTTCTAGTTCCGTGTACTCGCCTTGTTATGTAATGCATCATTTTCTTGCAAAACAGCGTTCTATATCCTAGCAGAAGTAAAGACGGTCTTCGGTGATTCGGCAGGAGTGTTGAAGTCGCTATGGCGGAAGCTTGTAGTCATATATTCTAGTTTGTGATATAGTGGCACAATGTTAATTAGCGCAGCTTCTTAAGCTACTTTACTAGGTTGGTTATAAAGGTCGTCCTTGTCACTGTCGGTCTTCAGGGAAAAGTTGCCAAAATATGGATATAATCATTAGAACTTCAGACAAAGTGGGTCTGTAATCACATCTTTACATCTAGGATTTAACAACTGAAGTTTGGACTCTCTCTCGCATGTACACATCGCCTTAACATGTATAAAGGGAACCGTTTCCTCCTGCCGTGCTTATTCCTTTGTTGATCTACTGAGAGACTAATCCATAAGTCGGAACGCTTAGCGCAGAATTTCACCACCGTTTTAGGAGTTGCTCCCAACTAACACCATTAATCCGTACCATTGCCCCAAACTCACAAAGCAGCCTGCACGCGTGGTCACCGTCTACGCAGTCCCCTTGACCCACATTCTGACAGCCACGCTCCCACCACATAAACCCCTTCTGTCGTAACCACGAGCGGCACGGAGCGCTGAGGGCGGCGACCAACAGACGAACACACCCCAGCTGCTAGGGCGTGTTCGTCTGCCGGCCGGTGCCGGGCTGTCGCCAAGGCCAGCAGCTGTGCGGCGGGCGGCAGGCGGTACTGTTTGCCCTGGCGTTCAGCGCATGCAGCGCCCCATTGTTCAGCCGGGCCCGACAGACGCCGCTGATGTTCGATCGCTGGTAAACAGATGGGCGCGGCCGGCGCCCTGTGGGCGGGCATGACGCGGGCATGACGCGGGCATGACACGGGCATGACACGGCGGCGGCCCAGCTGCGCCGCCCGCGGGGTGCAGCTCTACCCCAAATCTGTGCCACAGTTGGAAGGGCGAATAGTGCTGAGCTGTTTTTGCATTTGATTTTACGGTACAGTAGGAACCTGTCGTCCTTCGCGATGCAATTCAGCGAGTCTAGACGGGACATTTCTCATCTGTTCATCTCAGGCTCGCGAAGGGGTTCGCTAAGGTTATTGTATCAATCGTAACACGTCATAGATCTCAAGCTGCATCCATCGAGATGGCTTCTCACGAAAAACTGACGAAAAGCAATTGTGCGTTTTGTAAGACGGCGCATTGCCTTCCAAATTGCCTCCGTTTTACCACCATTTCGACTTTCCTCCAACAGGCTGCATTATAACTTCTTTCTCAACAACTGAATGCGATTTCCTGTCCCTCCATCCGGGACGGCATCCCTGTTCGTTACAGCGGCGCGCTGTCGCGGCTCCAGACCTGCCGTCGTCGAGCCCTGACCGGTGACTGACCTGAGCCGTCTCCGGGCCGACCTGGCCCGAGCCGACCTGGGTCACCATGAGCTCCGCCCCGCTCGAGTCCGGCTGCCATGTGAAGAGGCCGATGAACGCCTTCATGGTGTGGTCCCGCATCCAGCGGCGAAAGATCGCCGGCGTCAACCCCAAGATGCACAACTCGGAGATCTCCAAGCGGCTCGGCGCCGAGTGGAAGCTGCTGACCGAGGAGGAGAAGCGGCCCTTCATCGACGAGGCCAAGCGACTCAGGTGGGCGGCTTGTCTTTGGGCGCTTGTCTGGCGTAAGGGATGTGTGACTTGCGCAGTTCATGAATGCGGCAGAAATGGGTGGTTGGTGTGGCATGTTCAAAATATATAAACGTCTTCCCAAAAATAGCATGCTTCCGGTGCGTGAGTCTTCTTTATTGACAATATTGACGAGATGAAGAGCATAATGTATGCGTTGACTTGGACTGCATGTAATCATCCCAACTAAGCACAGCGCCAGAGGCATATGGATACAGCGGAAGGCGACGCGTGACTCAGTATTTTGCAGCTTCTCCTATGCTCGTGCGAGAGTGAAGTCCCGCCAAAATAGATGCATTCTGCGGCTCAAATTGATCTGAATGGCAAATTAACCACTAATTTTTTATGGCTATCTCAGATCCAGGCGTTCAGAAATGCCCGCAATCCATTATCTGCCCAAACGAGCTTTCTATTCTGAACGCTCCCTCACCATACCTGCCACTTCACTGGCGCAGGGCGCAGCACATGCGGGAGCACCCGGACTACAAGTACAGGCCGCGCCGCAAGCCCAAGACGCTGCGGCGGGACGCGTTGCAGTTCACGCTGCCGTACTTCCCGCCCGGCATGACGCAGATCAGGTGAGACCGGCCGAGAGCAGAGCTGTGTGAGGTCGCTCCTGTCCTCAGAATGGCTGTCACGAGTCTGTCCTGCACTACTTCCCGCCCGGCGTGACGCAGATCAGGTGAGACTAGCCGAGAGAAGAGCTGCGTGAGGTCGCTCCTGTCCTCAGAATGGCTGTCATGAGTCTGTCCCTGCACTACTTCCCGCCCGGCATGACGCAGGTCAGGTGAGACCAGCTGAGTGGAGAGCTGTGTGAGGTCCCTCCTGCCCTCAGAATGGTTGTCATGAGTCTGTCCTGCCCTCAAAAGAGCCGTCACGAGCCTGTCCTGTCCTCAGAAGAGCCGTCACGAACCTGCCCTACCCTTTAGACGAGCCGTCACGAGCCTGTCCTACCCTTTAGAAGAGCCATCACGAGTCTGTCCTGCCCTCAAAAGAGCCGTCACGAGCCTGTCCTGCCCTCAGAAGAGCCGTCACGAGCCTGTCCTGCCCTCAGAAGAGCCGTCACGAGCCTGTCCTACCCTGAAAAGAGCTGAGGTGTGCGAATGGTGCGGTAGGACTCACCCCGAGCCTTTTCCTTTGTCAGTTAAGCTGTCCTTGACCTATTCTGTCTTAGGGGGAGCTTTCCTAAGCCTGCCATGTTCTGTGGCAAATTCGTCCTTGTTGAGCTGTGGTTCAATGGGCCCATTCTGCGCTGAGGCATTGCTGCCAAAATAGACTCTACGCCCCCACTCCGCGCCCATTTTTCCGGCTCCCGGTCAAAAAGTAGAATGGAAGAAGTCGAACATAAAATCAAGCATCCAAAAATCGAAAGAGATAAAAGCCGAACGAAAAAACGTAAAGGGCAAAAAGTAAAAAGAACGGATAATTGTTCAAAGGGATATAAAACCGAATCGGAAAAAAGTGAAGGACAAAAAGTAAAAAAGGATGAAAGTCGAATAGGAAAAAGCCAAAAGACAAAAGGTCGACGGGGATAAAATCAGAAGCTTGTTAATTCGCAAGACAGAGCATTAACAGCAATAGAGGCCAGTTCGGACATGTGTGACCGCTTATAGTCAAAACGATTTAAAACAAAAAATTCGTCAGGATTTGAACCTAGTGTGATGGGTGGATAAAGCTGTGGCCACAGGGAGAGACATGCGGGACTGCATGGACTGGACAGGACAATGGAATGGGATGGGAGCATGATGCTGTCGGACGGAGCAGGGATCGGACGGAGCATGATGCTATCGGACGGAGCAGGGATCGGACGGAGCATGATGCTATCGGACGGTGCAGGGATCGGACGGAGCAGGGATCGGACGGTGCAGGGATCGGACGGAGCAGGGGTCGGACTGAGCAGGGATCGACTGAGCATGATGCTATCGGACGGAGCAGGGATCGGACGGAGCATGATGCTATCGGATGGAGCAGGGATCGGACGGAGCATGATGCTATCGGACGGTGCAGGGATCGGACGGAGCAGGGATCGGACGGTGCAGGGATCGGACGGTGCAGGGATCGGACTGAGCAGGGATCGACTGAGCATGATGCTATCGGACGGTGCAGGGATCGGACGGTGCAGGGATCGGACGGAGCAGGGATCGGACGGAGCAGGGATCGGACGGAGCATGATGCTATCGGACGGAGCAGGGATCGGACGGAGCATGATGCTATCGGACGGAGCAGGGATCGGACGGAGCATGATGCTATCGGACGGAGCAGAACGGCATCAGGCTAATATTAGGGTGGTGCTCAGAAAAGCTTTCACCTAACGGGCCAAATGCAAGGTCTAAATAACGGTCTCATCTGTTTTGCAACGTCACCTTGCTCCCGTCTCGCTGCCCTTCAACTTTTATTTCTTCTGCTTATCGGGAGGCGGGCTCCAGGCCCATTTTCTCAACTGCATAGGAAACTACATTCCTGTGTTCGGCGTTGTGAATCCAGGGCTCCTATGTCGAGTTATCGACCTGCATTATGGGGGAAGGAAAGGTTAAACGACATTATAAAGCAAACATTCAATATATGGTCAGCATACTGTTCCTGTTGAATATATTGTCCCTGTCGACTTTTTGTCTCTCGATTTTTTGCCAGTCGACTTTTTTCCGATAAGACCTTTATCTCCTTAAGGCTTTCATCCCGCCTGACTTTTTGTCTTTCGATTTTTCGAATTGACTTCTATCCCAGTTGAACTTTTACCTCTGACGACCTTTTGTCGCCGCCCTTCACGTTCTACTTTTTCTGTTTAACTTTTGCATTAGACTTTTTCAATTCGACTTTTTCAAGTCGACTTTTTCCACTCCAACCTTTCCATTTGACTTTCCCATTCGACTTTTATCCATTGGGCTTTCTGTCCGGACGCCATTCTTTCTAACGGACTGGTGATACTGAGGCTGAGGCTAGAAAAGTATTGTGTATACATTATTCTACCAGCCTGGTGCAGGGTCCAATCTCCGGCGTCGCACACTGGCTCACTGAATGATAAGAACACAATTAATTTTTTATACATAATTTGGCTCAACGGCACGTCCAACAGATTCAGTGAGTTTGCGTTGGCATCTCCCATGTTGATTGCCGTGGGGGCCAACGACACTTTTGGCCGAGAGTCAGGGTGGAACCCCACGACCTTTCAAAAACAGTTGTGAGGTGGTGAAGCGGTTACCCGATTTATGATGCACATTAGCCGAACAGTACCGAGCCATTGGTTTACGACCACCAGCTTTGGTTCGAGCGACGGCCTCCACCCCTAAATGGAAAAAGTACGGGTTCAAGATGAAGGGTGGATTATGCCAGTTTTCAGACAACAGGCTGAATATGGGGCATGGTGATCAAAATGCGCACCGTATTGCGCCAGTTATCAGAAAACAGGCCGGATGTAAAGCGTGTTGATCAGGGTGTGCTCTGTGTTGCGTTAAGACAGCCTGAAAGCACCGTCATAAAAAGCCCAAAGGGCAAATTGCTGGGTGAACGGGCCCTTTCATGTCTAACACGCTTTGGTTATACAGCTCTCGCCGCTACCTTGTCATTAATAGGCTGTTTATTTGGCAACGTTTGGATATCATTACCGAGAACATCTACCTGGTGTATGCATCCCTATATGCATCCGCAAAATAGCCTGCACGAACAAATGACGTCATTTGTATCCATCTGGTGTCCGCCATGGTTGAAACAGACTACAGAGCCAGGTCAGCTGTCACCTGCGTGTCACGTGACCACTTCGGATGGAGGTGTGGCCGGGCCCACACCACACTCGAGTCTGATTGCAGATTCTCCATCCGGGCGCTGAGCTGAGATGATGAGATGAGATGGGCTGCATCCCGATCTCGCACCAGAACGGAATGGTCACTGAGATCCGGGGCCTTTCTATTGCCATTGTCATGCAGCACCCAGCGCCTCTGGAGAGGATGAAGTTTTTAGCACGATGTCCTTGTGGACCCCACCCGACCTTTTCCCGACCTGTGCGCGACCTTTACTTGCATATGCCTACTGGCCGATCAAAGCGGGGCCAGCTTCCATGGAAGGGGCTTGCTGGCATTTTCATCGCTTGTCGAAAGGCAGTGGAGTGCCAGGTTCTTGACGCTGGGCTAACCCGCCCACTCAAGCACCGTCATCCCTGCACGTCATGACAACCTCGCCTCTGTCGTCAATGCCAGGCGGACCTAATTACCGCACCTTGTCCGTCAAGACAACCGCTCTTGCCCTCCCCCGCCGGCCTGACCCAGCCACTGTGCCCTGACGCGTCTCCGTTAATCGCGCCTCCGTTCACAGCGCGGGGCTGGCCCGGCCCCTGTACCCGACCTCGTTCTCGGGCGGCTACCCGAGCCTGCCGCCCGCCGCTGCCGTCGGGCTGCGCTACGCCCCGCCGGACGCCCGACCCGGAGCGCCTGCGTGCCGCCTTCCCGGCGTCCATGTTCGGCGGCTACGCCAGCCTGTACAGGCGGCCTGATGGACCTGGGGCCGGCACCGACGTCGGCGTCGGCGTCGGCGTCGGGCGCCGACGACGCCGGCGGCGTCGCGCCGGTGGCGAGGATCGCCGGTGCCGGTAGCGCCGCTGCCGTCGCTTGTACGGGCCGGGCGGTGCGCTGGCCTCGCTGGTGACGCGGCCTGACGCGCTCCTGAGCGACGGCAAGGGCGCACGCGGGTCCGCCGCCGCCGCCGACCGGCAACCCGCCGTGCTATTTCGGTAGTCGGTGCCGCTGCCGGCGGCGGTGCGTCCGACCTCGGCAGTGGAGATTGCGGAGGTGGACCCCGGGCCCACAGTCCCCACCGGGGCCCAAGTGCCCCTCACCCCAGTGTGAGCGGGGCAGAGGCGCGTGTCAAGCGTCCAGTCTGACCTCTGTCTTGCCTCAGGCTCTTTAGAGATCGGGACAGCGCCGGCGCGGCTCGGAAGGGCCCTGGCGAGGGGCGGCAGGCGTCCGTGAATGTTGAATACGATCGGCTGCGCTGGCCCTAAGAGCGGCTGTGGGTGTGGCTCGCTCTCCGTACGCAGTATTACACCGTGTCCGCGGAGCGGGATTGACGTGACGTCATTCGCGCCGCAAGAGGGGGGGGGGGACGACCCATCCGCCACTGGCTCAGCTGATGGACCGCGACCTCTGCGCCAACACGCGCGGCGGCCGGCTTTGGGCTGAGGACACCGCGGTGCTCACACAGGCGGAGAAAGCACTGGTGCCATAGTCACGACACTCTCACCGGATCGAGTCACTTCCCACGCGGAATCCATGGCTGCTTGCGTGCCAACACACGCGGGCGCATACACACTGCGTCACGCACGGCTTCCGGGGCTCACAGCTGGTTTGAAGTCTGGTTAAGCTTGATCCTTGAGCCTTGTTTTGAAAATGCTTCACTGCGACGTTGTGTGCTAGAAATGACGTAACCTAACATGCCGTGCAATGTGGGCAGCTTGCTTTCGATGTCCACGCTTTCATGTGCTCATTGGCTTACCATGCCGCGTTTGCTTGATTGTTGTGCCGTTTTGTAGGCATCCGTTCGGCATCAAAACTGCGAAGCATTGTGTGCCGCATCGGCTGAGTCTTTGGACGCTGCTTTTGGGTCGACTGTGAGTTTTACGGCCGGCTCGCGGGATGTTTGCGAAGCGTTCACGTGCTCACAGGACCGCGGAATCACGGGATGTCTGCGAAGCGTTCACGTGCTCACGGGCCGCGGAATCACGGGATGTCTGCGAGGCGTTCACGTGCTCACGGACCGCGGAATCACGGGATGTCTGCGAAGCGTTCACGTGCTCACGGACCGCGGAATCACGGGATGCCTGCGAAGCGTTCACGTGCTCACGGACCGCACCGCGGTGAGCTCGTACTGCTGAACGTCAACTGTGCCAAAGTTTGCGATCCTACCAATGCGCAGTCTGTGATGGATGCCAGTCAGTGTTGTGGAATAAATATGATTGACGTATCTCAAATCGCATCTTAAGAATTCGCCTGTTTCTTTTTCAGAGGCTTATTTCTTAATCGTGACTTGGTATACGAACCTGAGTGATTGCAGCCGTTGCTGCTGTACTAGCCCATAGCCTACATTCCAGCACTGCAAACCAATAAGCTACGTTTTGTGACATGGGGCCAGTGACATGGTGGCAGGTGTGACCAGGGCCTCTTTGGGAACTTGATTGGGGGTGGGGGGAGGGGGCACCGGCGAACACCAAATTGCCCTCACCCCGATAAATAGTTTGATTCGCGCAGTGAAAACGCTGTTTTGCCAGCAGCTCACACCCAATCAGATCCACATGCTTCAAGCAGAAAGCGCTAGGTGTAAATTCATCTGTGGCGAAGTAGCCATTCATAACTAAAACAGGAGATTAAAAAATGGCCGCAAGTTTGTTTTGCCATGTCAGACAGGTCTGAAATGGCGTTTGCTGGAATATAGTTCGTCAGATGAATGCGCAGATGATGGGAGAGACATTAGCACAAAGTGTTCTTCGTGTTTATCCTAATGCTGCTGGATTCACAAATGGTCCGTTCAACTTCGTGAACTGCCGTGATCGCAAGCGAGATGAAACAGATCGCACAAAACCTGGCAAATCCGTCCGCTGGGTGCTAGGAAAAGGAAGTTACTTAAATGATGCAGTGCTCAAAAGAAAATGTTGACACAGTGAAAAAGCTATCGGTCTGTGCTACGACTGCAACAAGCTACACCATTCCAAGAGCCGTAGTAGGTTTACCCGACGTAAACACGCATCTACAGTACAGGTTACGAGCACCTTTGTATCTGGCTAGTAATCTTCGCTACCTTAAAAATGTGATTTTTGCATTCTCTCTGGAGAATGTGTTTTTTCAACTTGACGGCAGTCAGAAATGATACCTTAAGGTTTTTTTACCTCTGAGTAATGAAGCCTAAGACTCCACCCCCTTTCTTGCTCGTTTACCGCCGGTGAATTGACTACGGCTCTCCAAATGGCGTACTTTGTAATACGATCACACCAAAGTTGTTTTTAGAGTGAGGAGGTGAGGTGATGTGTCAACAGCAACATATGAGCAATTTCGACTTTTTAACCCTCGGGTCACAACGTTCATGACTCGCATGTAACATACTCGTATGTCTCCAGCAATCGACCTCGCCGCTTCTAATGGTGTATTTTCGTAACCGTGGTACGGACAAATGGCTTTTGAGCGAATCATCAATTTATTAGCTGCGTAGAAAGACACGCTTAATCTCCACCGGGTGATTTGCCCTTAAAGTAGACACTGGATGTGAGTGTTATCATGACGCATGTAAGGCTCAGTGTGAGCGCGTGGAGCCGTCGGCGTTTAGGAATATGTGCGTACTTGCGGTTGTCTTGAGAGTATATGTGCGTACTGATGGTTGTCTTGAGAGTATTGACTGGATCTCAAAAAGGCGACATACGTCGCTTCTTACTTTATAGCTGGAACATCGATGGACCTGCGTATTCCACGCTCGGTGTCTTGTAAGTGGTGCATTCATTGCATTCTATGCAGTTGGTTTCACATGTTGATCTTCTCGGTCGCCGAGATTCAACCCCAGTCTCTAAACCTGTTCACAAACCGCACATGCTGCTTTCCGCTCAGCCGAAGCATAGGCCCTTCGACCAAACGCGGATGTTTGTACTATAATGATATGTATATATATATATATATATATATATATATATATATATATATATCATTCGTATAAAGTTGCAGACCATTGTACTTTTTGCACGTCATATCTTCAAAAGTAAGAAAACCGCGAACACCTCACAGTCGTACGCATAAGCATTGCACACTTTTCGCTGTACTTTATTAAGGCAGCGTTTCATTCCAAGCCAGACGGCAATCTACTATCCCGAGTTGTCTCTAATGGCGTTGCCATTGCCCCACATTCACCCACATTTGCGCGACGAGCTGATTGTCATCGCTGAATTCGAGTTCAATGGACCTCTAGACTGCTATTCTTCCTAACGCTCGCGGACAATCAATATCGCAGAGCTGTGGCCTCGCAGAGCTACTTTATCATTTCTGACGGTTTTTGTGTCAAGCACTTCAAACACGCTCAATGCAACGTCCACCCACCAGTCAACCATAACAGGCAGCTATGATACCATCAACGCACGATAGTGTGTTCTATCTGCGCCCGGTATTTTTGCTGTCAACAGTGTACAATACCGATACCTTGCCATCACCACGTACGCATTCAGTCTGCCGTTCGTGCGGACCATGTCGGCGAGCGGACGGTGTGTGGCGCGGCCGTGGGGTGCCGCGCGCGACACACTCGGACCGGTGCGCTCCCGCCCGCCCGCCCCGGCCATTACCCAGAATGACTGTACAAACGCGGCCACCGGCGGTGGCATCACGACACGTATGGATTACACCGCGCGCGGCGGAGGCAGAGGGGCGGGCGGCGGCAGAGATAAGCGCGAGGCTGGCGCGGGATGGGCGGCAAACACGACCGCGTGCTGCGAGGCGTGACGCGACGCCGACGGTCCCCTGCTGCCGCGACTGCTGCCGCTGCCGCCGCCGCTGCTCACCGGGAGGCGCCTCAGGGTCAGCCTGTGCACGCCGCGCTACACACGCGCTCGCCGCTCGCGATGTGCGAGGAGAGAGCCAGGCGACTGTCGGGGCAGCTCGCACCTAGTGTCTTCTTTGGCGGCTATGCTTGGTGATATCACCATCTGAATAGCGTCCGTACTCCGGTTTACATCGCAGATGGCAGCCGCGAAGTCACGGGGGAGGGGGGGGGGGGGGGGCGCTTGGAGCCTTCTTTCTATGCGCGCATGGCACTCCCGGCACCATGCGGATGCACCTGGCCGCGTCATGTACGTTCATCCCAGCATGAAGGCATGCGGCTTGACCTATCCAACATGTGGTGTCACAAGGGAGTAAATAATGGTGAGACAAAAGTGCGGTTTGGGCCCATCAGAAGGTGGATTTTCCCAGCACTCACCAACCAGTGCATCTAGGGGGTTTCAGAATTCGCACGTACCTATCTTTTGTCACGCTTAAAGGCACTCTTACTTCCTTCGATCAGCTGGGAATTATCACAAGAAATGTCAAAACAAGGGCTGATACTGATCACGCATTTTCAACTGACCTCCACGTCCCGTGCAGGCAGAGCGTAACACCACTGGTAACACATCCGGCAAATACAGCCTCTAAATATACTCATGGTGTAACGAGTTACTCTTTTTGGTATAGTCATGGTGGTGACGAGTTACCCTGTTTTGGTGTACTCATGGTGTGACGAGTTATTCTAAGGATGCCAGTGAACTACAGCACGAGATAGCGGTAACCCAAATGTGTGGCTTGTAACCATAATCTAATATCTATGAACTGCACCGCTACGGGACTGAGACCATCTGATCCACAACGCTTAAGCAGACCTTAGACTGGCTGCCGGATGCACATATTGAGTTTACTCTCCAGCGTAGCGCCCTCCACACACAGACTAGCCCAGGGGCTCCAAGGTCCCACGCTGCTTTTGTAAGCGAGCCATGGT